TCAATTAGATCAAGTCGACTGATAGTGCTATTCAGGTCAGGTCATCTATATCTTTGTTAATTTTCTGCCAGCTTGATCTGTCATCTCAGATAGGGGTGTTGAAGTCTCCAAGTATAACAGTGGATTTGTCTGTTTCTCCTTTCGGTTCTATCAGTTTTTGCCTCAAGTACTTTAATTCTCTGTTCTTAGGTGCATACTCATTTCAGTTTCTTGTGTTTTCTTGGATAATTGACCCTCTTATTATTATATAATACCCCTCTTTATCTCTGATAATCTTTCTAGTTCTGAAGTCTGCTTTGTCTAAAATCAATATAGATAACTATATTTTTTTGAATGTTATAAATTTCTTTATTATTACTTATTATTAAGTACCAACTAAATATGCAAAAAATTTGAAGCCACCCTTCCACAACCCACTCTCCCCTCTCACACCCAAATTCCACACTTAGCTTCCAGCAATTTGTCAAAATTATCATTTAAGTGTTTCTTCCAGTTTATGGCTCCAGCAGCTTCTGCTGCAGGTAAACAGATCTCAGTCGCTGTCTCTCTTTTGCTTGCCCCCCGATTTGGAATGGCAGTTGGTCCTGTGACCTCAGTTCTCTGATGGATCCAAGAAAAGCTGTTGATTTTTAGTTTGTTCAACCTTTTCTTGTTATAGGGAAGGGAGTGATGACTTCCAGGCTCTTTAGCTGATACCAGAAGTTGAATTATTTGTCTTTTTATTACTGACTTGTAAGAGTTCCTCAAATAATCTGGATATTAGACCCTTATCAGATATATGACTTGCAAATATTTTCTCATCCTGTGGATTTTATTTTTACTTTCTTCATGGTATCATTTTCAGCACATTTTAAATTTTGATGTAGTCCAGTTTAACTATTTTTTTCTTTTGCCACTTGTGCTTTTGATGTCATATCAGAAACCATTCTTAACCCAAGGACATGAAGATTTATTCCTATGTTTTCTTCTAACAGTTTTATAGTTTTAGTTCTTATATTTAGGTCTGTGATCCATTTTGAATTAAGTTTTGTGTATGGTGTGAGGTTGGGGTCCAACTTCATTCTTTTACATGTGGATATCTAATTGTCCCAACACGATTTATTGAAAAGACTATTCTTTCCATATTTAAATCTTATTACTTGCCTGTGGAAATATTTTAAAGTGTTGACTTTACATTCTCAGATTTTGTGTTTGTGTGCAAATTTGATAAGCATGTCATCTCTATATTGAGGTTCAAAGCAATCTTCAGTCCAATAAAGTAGCATTAGGTAAACTTCTAAAAGTATCCATAACGCCCTTCAAGGCAGAGTTTTTATGGTTGTAATGAGAGCTGTCTTAATTTTGAGTAGAATGAGAAGTGGTGAGCTGTGTTCTGGAGAGGTCACAAAATTACATATGGTAAACTAATAGTTTTCTTGGTAGCATGGCAGAATATCTGACATTCTCTTGGGCTAAAGAAAACCTCTATTATAAATGGACATCTTATTTGAATTGAGCAACCATTAGTATTCATTCACATGCTAATTCAGAATTAACTATTAGTGTAAATATCACTTATCTAAGAAGAATGTTTTGGTGGAAGAGACAGATAAGTTTTGAAGGAGGAGAGGTGTGGGGAAAGTTCAGTACACATAGTGATGTTCCATTGATACCAACCTTGGATCTCAAGAACAGATGAGGAGACTTTAAGAGACAGTATAATGTAGTGTTTTAGAGCATGTACTCTGAAGTCAGACTACCTAGTTCGAATACTGGCTCCACATTTGGTAGTTGTGAGAACTTTAGCCTGATTGGGGCTTTTAACATTTTTTTCAACACATTTATTAAATACCTACTATGTACTAGACAGTAAAGTAGGAATGGAATATTCCCTGGTGAACAAAACAGAGTTGGGATTGCGGGATAGCCTTAACATCAGGGGTGGCCTCAGGCTTCTCCTCCTGTCTTTATTTCATCTCATACTAACTATAGTTGACCTTTGAACAACATGGGTTTGAACTGTCTGGGTCTGCTTATACACAGATTTTTTTCAATAAATACTATAATACTACACAATCTGTGGTTGGTTGAAGCCACAGATGAGGACTCAAGGGCCAGCTATGGTACTTGAGCATCTGTGGATTTTGGTGTCTGTGGTGGTTCCTAGAATCAATTCTCCATGGATACTGAGGGACACCTGTATTCTTACCCCCATACTCATTATTATGTAGCTATTGTGGCCTCCTTTCTGTTCCTCAGTAAGCCTTTTCTTACATCAAGGCTTTTGTATTTGCTATTTATTCTACTTGAAGTTCTTTCTCCCTAGTTCTTTCCATGGTTTGCTTATTCTTATTAAATCCAAATGTCAACTGAATCCATATTGCTCCCTGCCCCTTCTCATCATCTTTTCCAGTACTTTTTCCAGTATGTGATCCTAGTTAATTTTCTTCTGTATTATTTATCACATCCATAAGAATGTTAGTTCTAAGAAGACTGGGCCTTCATTCATCTCACTAATCATTTAGTCTCCAGTTTCCATTACAGTTTCTATCACATAGTGGGGACTCATTAAATATTTGTTGAGTGGACGAAACAAAGCTGATACCTGTAGGAGTCAGCCATATGAAGGTAGGAGATAAGAGCTAAGACCCTAAAGTGGGAAAAAACTTTCTATGACTAAAGAGCCGTAATGATAAAGTGACAGAGGCAAGGGTGTGTCAGGCCTTTAAGTCCTGGCAAGGAGTTTGGATTTTATTTGAATTTTAATGAAAAGATTTTAGTCTGGAGTTTTAATGTAATCCAACGTACTTTCCAAAAGATTTCTTTGGCTGTTCTGTGAAGAGTAGATTAGGGAGAAGACTGGAGGTAGGAGATGGGTTAGGAGACTTTTATAGTAGATGAGATCATAGCTTGGATTAGGTTGGTAAAATGGATGTGGAGAAAGATGGGGATAGATGTGGGATTTATTTTGGAAGTGGGGCTGACATGACTTGGCAATGAGAGGAATGAAGAAGTAGAGATGCATCAAGGATGATAACCAGATTTTTTGTTTGAGCAACTTGGTGGAAGGTGGTGTTCTTTACTGAAATGGGAAATCTGAATAAGGAACAGCTTTGGATGGGACATTAGGAATTCCATGTGGGTCACATTTTAAGATACTGATAAAAATTCCACATGGAAATATCAAATAAAGAGTTGGATTCCAAATCAGGAGTTTAGAGGAGACATTTGGGTTAGGATAGAAATTTGGGAGTCTTTCAGCATATAGATGCTATTTAAATCCATGGCAATGAGAGATATTACTTAGAGTGTGTGGCAAGGAATCAGAAAAAAAAGCTCGGGACTTGAACTTGGGGGAATTTCCAACATTTAGAGGTCAAGTAGAGGAGTGGCAACTGAAAAAGATTTGGAGAAGGATAGGCCACAGAAAGAACACCTGGAATGTGTGATGTCTTGGCAATCAAGGATTCATGGGGCAGCCTGAAGGGTAAAAACATGGCTTCTAACACATACTGCATTTTCAGAAACATATAATGTGCAAAATGAGAAAAACCTTTAGAGGACAGATGAATGTGCTTGAAGGGTTTTAAAAAGGAAGGATGTTTATATGCCTAACAAATAAATGAAGGCTAGCTAATTACACCGGCCTTGGAGTTTGCAGTAATTATCCTTTGTTTTGATATTATTAGAAACTTTGATTTTTGATAATGTTAGGAGGTAATTTTTTAAAGTGTAACTTGAAGGGGGAAGTTATTTTTAATTTTTTTTTCTGAGAGTAATGGTGTTAGTGTCACCTAATGGCAAAATGAGATATTGCAGCCGTATTTATATGAGGCAATGAACAAAATAACCTAATTAGAAAGAGAAAAAGAACATTTATGGGGGAATTTTTGGCATGGAGCAGACTTACCATGGTTACAAGGTCCTGCGTTCTTTAGCACTGGTCTACTTGTCCTACCTCTCTGTCACATTACCCCTTTGGTCACTGAGCAGATTGGTTAATATGCAGTTCTTTTTTATCTTCCAGGTTTCAGCTCAAATATTTCCCTTTCAGAGAGTCCTTTCCTACCACCTTACTTAAAGTTGTCCGTGTATTCCTTACAGCTACTCTTTGTTACATTAGGCTGTTGTATTTTCTTCATAGCCTGAGAATGATTTGGGATTACCTTACTTGCTTGTTTCCTCACTAGATGTAAGCTCCACGAGAGGAGGCAACTTGTTTGCCTTATTCGCTCATGTAACCGCAGTTGAGTATACTGACTGTTATATAGTGTACATGTTCAGTTAAAATTAGTTGTGTGAATATTTGAATTTCTGGAAGTGATAGAGAATGTTGAGTTTCTATGGTGTAAAGTAGAGATCTATCCAGAAAACAGAATCACACTGTATTTGATTACTGCTGCATGAATGCAATGTGAAAGCTTTGCTCCCCTCACCTCCCCTGCTTTTTTTGCCTCCTGTAGATAAGTGGCTACATGTCTGGAAAAGAAAAGATACATGGCTTAGGGTGTTGAATTCTATGTTAATCAGTCAACTTAAGTGACACAGAAAAAATATTTTAAGGTACAATACTTAGTCTTGAGGAGATAAGTTTTTGCAGACATTTAGGTTTAGTTATAAAGTAATTTCAGTGAATGTATTTTTGTTTGTGTATGAATTTGTAGATACTTCTAGCTTATTTATTTATTATTTAGTTTTCTATTTATTAAAAAGAACAAAAAGTATTTCTAGGAGAAATGTGTAGAGTGCCAAATAGTAGTAAATCCTTTTAGTTGAGATATGGTCAGGTTTGTGTTGTTTTTCAGGGAACAATATGGTTCTTTTAGCGTGGAAACTCAGGGTACATTTCCATTATGTGGCCCAGCCCAAGAAGGTAGCCTCCCTAGTTTTGAGATAATTATCTAGCCAGCAGAATTCTTCCTTGCATGAACCAATTTTAAAGGCCAAAGATTGATCAGGTACTTAATAGTTCATGTTTTTATTCACTAATTTTTGTTCTTACTCCTTGTGGTTTTGACCAGGTGGATGTGGGAAGAGAGGTTTGCAGCACTGAAATGGAGGTCAGAGCTTCATTACAGAAGATTAGTGGGTCATCGGATTCTGTGACTACACTGAACAGTGAAGAATTTGTTTTGGTTCCTCAGCATGCAGATGATACTTCTACAAAAGATGATGAAAAACCTGAACTGAAGGTATTTTTCCCTTTTCTACAAATGATATTATTTTAAATTATTATTATTATTTTTAACTAGGTGAAACTTATCTCAGGAGATATATAAAATCCAAAGGTTTTTCTTGAGTACTGACCTCGAGACTAGAATCAGTGTTTGGTTTATCCAGATGCTAATTATTTGGTTTGTGTATTTTTAAAGTTTTTGCTTTCGGTTTTTTATCTTTTACTTTAGAATTCAGAAAGAAGGAATAGGAGGGAAAAAAGAAGAGAAAGGATAATTGGCAAGTTAGACTTAATGGTTAAATCTTACATAAATTTAATTTATCTGGATATTTTTGACTCTCTTACTGCTGCTGGGTTTTAAAAATTAATTATATAAGTATGTAGTTATGTATTATTTTCACTTGACTTTTCTTTATGATTTTATGTTTTAAGTCAGCTGGTAACATTCAAGTATGTGATTTAACACTTGTCTGAATATTTTTGAAGTATATGTTTTATAATTTTAGCAGTTGAGTTTTTATTTGGATGTGGTCCTTTTTCTTTTTCATTTTTATGTTGCCTTTCCTAACTTGAAAAAAAAAAAAAAAAGAACCAAATAAACCCAGGTATACATGTATGGGAAGTGCATAACCACCCTCTAGAAATAGGAAGAGAGAAATTAGCCAAAAATGCTGTATATTATTTATGACTTTTATTTAATATTAATTATATCAAAGGTATGTTAGTATGTTAATCTAATAAAATCAATCTAATAAAATTTTATAAAAATCAGATTAAGTACTCATTTTACATTATGTTGAGGATATATATTTTTATAATTTTATTAATCAATGGATTTCTTTAAATTTATTCAAATATCTGTATTTAAATAAACAGCTCTTTAAATTCATTTAACTCTGTATTTTCATATTAATGTGTTTAAGGCATTTATTTACTTAGGCTTTGTGTCTCACTTGCTTTTAAGAAGAAGATGAGTCAACTTAAGAGTAAGGAAATTAGCAGTACTCCTTGACAGCTCAAGCAAAATTTGTAAAGGAGTCAGAAATATGTTTATGCTATGATAACAAAAAATATGACCTTTTAAATGATATCAGTGCTACATATTATCTATTTAAATGTATCCATTTTCCTCTTTAAAACACATAAATTAAAAAAAAAAAACATAAATTTAGGATTACCCAGTTTTTAGAATACGTTTCTAAAAGAGAAAAAGAAAAAAATAAGCAAAGAAAATATCTGTAAATAAGATCTTAGATCAGATATAGTTGGAAAATGCCTGGTATGTTTCTGAAGAATCCTTTTCTGGTACTAATAATCCTCTAATTTAGTTGAGTTTATAACTCAGGATTTTATATATATCTAATGAAATTAGGTACAGCTGTATAAATTCTTGGTATTCAGTAACTATATTTAAATTTAAATATTTAGATTGTTTAAATTTCTTCTAGAAATGAAATATTTTCATTAAGTTCCAGAACCATGTTATGATTGAAACGAATTGTCTTGCTTTGTCTGTAGATAGTTTCTAATGGTGATGAACAACTGGAAAAAGCCATGGAAGAGATTTTGAGAGATTCTGAGAAAGGGCAAAGCAGCCTTCTTGTTGATTGTCCGAGTTCCAGTGAGATTTCAGACCATTCATTTGGAGATGTTTCGGCCAGCCAAATAAATAAGCCGTCTCTTCAATTAATTTTGGATCCGTCGAATACAGGTACTGTATTGAACTCTTAGAAACTATAATAGAAATGGGATAAAGTGATAATGAAAATTTTAAGATGAATATTAGAAAATTTTATTAGCTTCATTTTCTAAGATCAAGGCCAGCAGCTTTTCAGTTCCCACATTGGTTCTTATGTTTCTGTTTGTATCTCCACCTGTAAAATCAGTCTCAGTGTTCTTTGAGAACTGGCTCTATGTCTGGGCATTCATTTTACCCCTAGTACTTGGCATATAGTAGGCCCTCAATAAATACTTATTGAACAAATGAATAAATTCTTGGGTATCAAAGAACAGTGTAATGGACACATTCTTCCATATAATGTGACTTCTTACTCAGTTTGACTACAGTTATTTCAATTACAATTTGTGAAAATTCTAAGTAAAATAACATATCAACTCCATCAGTGTAATAATACTGTAAAAGTATTTATTACAGTGTAATAAATAATATATACGTGCATGAATGAGTAGGATTTATAGTAGGAATACCAGTTTGTAAGTCAAAATGGTTTTGGAGGAAGGAAAAGCCAAACCAAACCCAACCCAACTCCTACTTCAGCTGGTTTAAACACTGGAGGTGTGGTTTGATCTGGCCTCTGGTAGTATTTCTTTGTAAACTACTCAGCTTTGATCTTCTCCATGTCATCTTTCTCCTTAACTGGCATCCTTTGTGGTCACAAAGTAGGTAGCTGCAGAAATTGATAAGTAAGGCTAGGTGATTTGTTCATGTCTGGTGACCGAGAGAAAGGCTCTGATCTTTTACCCATCGAACAAAAGTTGTGAGTTTTACTCTGATTGGACCAACTGAATCATTTTCTAGTAGTCAGGGGAATGATATGAGCCAATAGGTGTAGGCCTTGGTTATATTCAAACTCCTCAGTAAGTCATTCTGACAGAGGAGATGAGATCATCCTGACTGATTTAAGGCACTCATGATCCATTTCTGAATGTTCGTGTCGGGTAGGTGTAGATATAGGCCAGAGTGCTACACAGTGGAAACACGGTGGCCCTACCTTACACTGTACCCCAAATTTATTCCTAGTGAATCAAATATTTAAATGGGAAAAATGAACCTTTAAGAAGAAAATAATGAGAATATTTTTGTGATTGTCAGGGTAGGAAAAGCCAAATCATAAAGGAAAAGCTACTTGCATTTTAATACATAAAAGCTTAAATCTGAATGAGAAAAGTACCATAATAAATATGGCTAAATGAGGCTCAGAGAAGATATTTGCCATGTGTTGGGGGTCCCCAAAAGTGCCCCTAGTTTAATGATTCATTATAAAGACTTGTAGGTTTCAGTGTATATTCATATTCATGGCTAGATTTAAGTTCAAGGGGACTTTATATGTGTGTGTGTGTGTGTACACACAAGATTGGAAATAAGCCTTACAAAATATTAATTTTTTTAGTTCTTGATTGAGGGAACATGAGAGATTATATTTTTCATTGTGCTTTTCTTTATCTTTTGAATTTCTTAAATCCCTAGCCTTCGCCCCAAACCCAAAGCATACTGACATCAACATTCCTATAGTTATTTTTTTGGTTAATAGATTAATCAAAAGGAAGAAATACCTTTATCTTCTCATGTATTGAAAGCTCTGATGGGTTATTGGAATCAGTTGTCCTTTGCAATGGCCTAGATAATATTCTTATTTCTGAGCATATTTGATAGGGACCATGTATAATGTACTTTTGTGTTTTCAACACCCATTATATTAAATACATTTTAAAAAAATGTATCTTTCCCTGAAGATCTCAGTGGATAAGAATTTCCACTTTGCTTTACAAGTAAGTTTTTAAAAAGCATTCTTTTCTTGTTATATATTGTTTCTTTTCATTTTCAATGAAAAGACATATGTTTTGTGTTCTCCCCAAAATTAATATATTGAAATCCTAGTGATGGTATTAGGACGTCGGGCCTTTGGGAGGTGATTAGGTCATGAGGGCAAAGCCCTCATAATTGGGATTATGTCCTTCTAAAACAGACTCCAGAGAGCTAGCATGTGCCTTCTGCAGCGTGAGGACACAGTGAAAAGATGCTGTCTAGAAAGTGAGCTCTCATGAGGCACCAAATCTGCCAGAGCCTCAGTCTTGGACTTCCTAGCATCCAGAGCTGTGAGAAATAAATGTCTGTTGTTATAAGCCACCCGTGTGGTTATTTTATTATATAGCAGCCTGAAAGAACTATGAGAAGACATTTCAGCTGCCTCTTCATAGTTGCAGTTTTTGTTTACAGAATTGTTGTGGTTGATTAAAATGACACATAACTTCAAAAGTAAGGGACTGTCTGGAAAGTATCTAGATTTAAATGGGCTAAAGTGAATATTAAAGATATGTAATTTGCCAGTGATAAATTTAGATAGATAAGGGCTTTTGTTTAAACATCATGATAACTTGTTGGTTTTTGTCATTTGGTGATCGTATGTCCTGGCTACTTGGATTCACCTCTACAGGGAATCTGCTAATTTACTGTAATGTACTAAAATACTGTGTGGATACATAGATGAGTCTTCTCTCTCATGCTCTTTGTTATTCTTTGCATCTTTCTGCTAAGGAAGGGATGATGGAATTCAAAAGTATGACTTGAACAGGACTGAATTTATATTTAGGAGGATATGAATTTCTTACATTGATGTGTGATTTTATGAGATCTAGAAGTGTTGCCTTGCTAAAAATATTTTGCTATTTGTTTGCTTAACTTCGGATTTCCACTAGTCATGAGTTTTGTCTACATGAAAGCTGCAGTTATGATACATTTAGTTGTGGATGAGATAGGATCTAAGTGGTACCCAGAGATGATGTGTGTTTGCCATTAATTGGTTGCTAAAAGGACCACTAGCTCTAAAAAATTTCATTTATTTACTGATTAATTCATTTGGCGTATATTGAGTGCCTAGTCTTTTAGACACTTGTTATAAGTGCTGGGAATAAAAAGAGGATAGAACAGTTCCTTCCCTTGAAGAGCTGGTACTCTATAATTAAGGGCAGAATAAACTTCATTTTGATTTTAATTCATTCTATTTTAGACCTTTCATAGAGGCTAAGACATGATATCTGGAGTTCAGACCTAGATTTGAATCCAGGCTCTGCCTGCAGCTTGGACAAGTTATTCAACTTCTCTAATGATCAGTTATCTCATCTGTAAAATAGAGATAAGATAGAACCCGTTTCATAGGGATTTAGAAGTTCAAATGATACCATCCACATAAAGTATTTTGTAAAATGCCTGGCACAAAGTAAGTACCAAATAAAATGTTTGTCATCATCAGTAGTTTTGGAAATCTTGAACCTCAGAATAAAATCACATACAGTTTTAGGTCAAAGCCCAGTAATTATAACATATCACTTTAAATGGGCATGGGGGGACTTCTCTGGTGGTTCAGTGGTTAAGAGTCCGTGCTTCCACTGCAGGGGGCACGGTTTGATCCCTGGTCAGGGAACCAAGATTCTGCATAGCGTGTGGCTCGGCCAAAAAAAAACCCAAAAAAAACCCAAAGGGCATGGGGCAGGGTGTAGGCCCTTTACCTCCATTGACATACCTAACCCCTGGATTTCTATGGAGCAATTTTCTTTGAATACTCTAAAGATGTTGTCCTGCTGTCTTCTCTTCTCTGTCATTTCTGATGAGAAATCTGCAGTCATTTGAATCACTTATTTGTTCCCTTATTTGTAACATGCTGTTTGTCTACTTTCAATATTTTTTTCAATATTTTTGTTTTCCAGCAGTTTGGTTATATGGGTGTGGTTTTCTTTGAATTTATCTTTGTTGGTGTTCACTGAGATTCTTGAATCTGTAAATTTATATCTTTTATGAAATTTAGGAAGTTTTCAGACTTTTTTTTTTTTTTTTGTGGTATGCGGGCCTCTCACTGTGTGGCCTCTCCCTTTGCGGAGCACAGGCTCCGGACGCGCAGGCTCAGCGGCCATGGCTCACGGGCCCAGCCGCTCTGCGGCATGTGGGATCTTCCCGGACCGGAGCACGAACCTGTGTCCCCTGCATCAGCAGGCGGACTCTCAACCACTGCGCCACCAGGGAAGCCCTCAGACATTTTTTAGAAAATTTTTTTGTGCATAGTCTTTTTCTTTTCCCGTGACTCAGACAACAAAACTATTAGATATTTTCATATTGTCCTGCAATTCCTAAGGCTCTTTTCATTGTTTTCCAATCTTTTTCTTTTCTCCTTTCTTTAGTTTAGAAAATTTCTGTTGATCTGTATTCCAGTTTACTGGCTTACTATTCTGTTATCTCCTTTCTTTTGAGCCCATCCAGTGAATTTTTAATTTTAGATATTCTATTTTTCTGGTCTAAAATTCACCTTTTTACATTTTCTGTTCCTCTGCCATGGATTTTAATATTTTCACTCATTCCAGTTTTGTTCACCTTTATGTCATAGAGCATGGTTATAATACCAATTTTAAAGTCTTTGATAATTCCAGCAACTGCATCATTTTGGGATTGGTATCTGTTGATTGCTTTTCCCTTGACAATTGGTCACCTTTTTCTATTTTTGTTTTTTGTTTTTTTTGTTAGTTGAGTAACTGAATTGTTTTCCAGACTTTCTGAAACTTACGTTTTGAGATTCTGTTTCCAGAAGAATGTTGATTTTGTTTTATTTTAGCAGGCAGTCCACTTGGTTACATCCAGACTGCAAGTTCGATCTTGCTTTCTGGTTCCAAAGTCAATCAATTCCAAAACCTTTGCTATGCTTCTTTGGTCTGTTCCACACATGTATAGCATGGTGGTGAACCCAAGACTTGTGTTAGTTCATACACAAAATTAGGGGATTACCTTCTCCAACCCTCCTCCTCAGGATTTCCCCCATACTCTCTGGCTTCTTGGGGCCCATTTTCCTTCTTCTCTTGCGTAGAAAGACAGGTTTCTCACTTCAGGACAGAGTGGTGAGAGAAAAGAAAGAAAAAAAATAGCAGAGGTTTCCTTTTCCTTTTTGAACCACAAGAGCCAAGCCCGTTTGTTTGGGTGTTCTAACCACTGAGAGGTTCCTTTTCTTCGAGTTGCATATGCTACGGCACTCCATCCTTTCCCCCCAGCCCCTCTTCCCACATAGTGGTGCAGCTCCAACACTGGGGCTGGCCTTGTGGTAGAACTGGGAGAGAAAAAAGAGAGAGAGAGAAAAAAAAGTTATAATTCCCCAAACGTTCTCTGGTTTACAGGGACTCTTTTTTTCTGTCCTTTGGCCAGAAAAATAGGATTTCTCTCACAGTTTTGTTGCTCACTGCACAGTTCTGCAACTTGGGCGGCCCGTAGGTCAAATATGGGATATAAAGGATGAAAAAATGTAAAAAGGAATTCAGTACTACACTGGTAGTTCTTCAAGTTTTGACCTCTCTCCAATCTGTCTGTTGTTACTTGCTTTAAAAAAAAAAAAAACAATCCTGGGCTTCCCTGGTGGCACAGTGGTTAAGAATCCGCCTGCCAATGCAGGGGACACGGGTTCGAGCCCTGGTCTTGGAAGATCCCACATGCCGCGGAGCGACTAAGCCCGTGCACCACAACTACTGAGCCTGCGCTCTAGAGCCTGTGAACCACAACTACTGAGCCTGTGAGCCACAACTACTGAAGCCCACACGCCTAGAACCTGTGCTCCACAGCAAGAGAATCCACCTCCATGAGAAGCCAGTGCACCACAACGAAGAGTAGTCCCCGCTTGCTGCAGCTAGAGAAAACCTGCGTACAGCAACAAAGACCCAATGCAGCCAAAAATAAATAAAATAAAATAAATTAAAAAAAATAAAAACAACAACAAAAACAATCCTAAGGTAGTTACTTTTTATTTTCTGTCCAGTGTTTTCAGTTAATACATAGAAGCTATAGCAGACTTGTTACTTCAATTTGACTGGTTCAGTTTGAGGATCTTCAGTTCTGCTAGTTTTTGCTTCAAGTATTTTGAAGCTCTGGTATTAGGGGCATAGCCACTTTTTAAATTATGTTTTCCTTATAAATTGACCCTCTTATCATTGTGACATGTCTCTTTTTCTCCTGTTACTGTTTGTTGTTTTGAAGTCTGATTTTTCTGATATTAATATAGCCATTCTGGTTTTCTTATAATTAGTGTTTGTGTGGTATATCTGTTTATTTCCTCCCTCCCTCCCTTCCTCCCTCCCTCCCTCTCTCCCTCCCTCTCTCTCTTTCTTTCATCTTTTTTTGGCATTTTATTTTATTTAGTTATTTTTATACATAAATAAATTAACTTTTTGGCTGTGTTGGGTCTTCGTTGCTGCACGGAGGCTTTCTCTAGTTGCAGTGAGCGGGGGCTGATCTTCGTTGTGGTGTACTGGCTTCTCATGGCGGTGGCTTCTCTTGTTGCAGAGCACCGGCTCTAGACCTGCGGGGTTCAGTAGTTGTGGCATGCAGGCTCAGTAGTTGTGGCTCACGGGCTCTAGAGTGCAGGCTCAGTAGTTGTGGTGCACGAGCTTAGTTGCTCCACGGCATGTGGGATCTTCCAAGACCAGGGCTTGAACCCATGTCCCCTGCATTGGCAGGCAGATTCTTAATCACTGTGCCACCATGGAAGTTCTTCTTTCTTTTATCTTTATGGAAGATCTTGGTGGCTGCAGTGTGGAGAATAAATTGGAGGAAAGAAAGACTGGAGGTTACTGCTGTAGTAATTTGGGTAATGACTATGGGGCCAAAGAAAAGTGGGATGGATTCAAGAGTTATTCAAGGCATGAATAGTTCAGTGTACATCTAATGAATTCAATTTTGGACATAATGATTAATAAGATTTCCAAATGGGGATGACCAGCAGTCTGCTGTATTTTAAAGAAATTAAACAGCAAGGAAAAAGTCGTTCCCTCATATTTATAACTTTTGGTGCTCTTCAGTTTCCCTCTAGTATCATTTTCCTTTATCCCAAGGATCTTTTTTAATATTCTTGTTTTCTTATGCAAATTAGAATTAGTTGTTGTATCCACCCAGGGAATATTTCATTTCAGATCTTGCATTTTTTAGCTCTAGAATTTCTTTTGGTTCTTTTTTCTGTCTTCCATTTTTCTCCTTCTTTTGTTAGGTGTTTTTCTTTAATTCCTCTATCATAGTTATAATAGTTACTTTAACGGTCTTGTCTACAATTTTGTCATCTGTCTTTTTTGGATCCATTTATGTATTGTTTTTGTATTTGGGGTATACAGAGTTTCATGAATCTGTGAGCTACACAGATTTTGTAAAACATTTATTTCTTCAGAAAGCTTTTTCCCCACCTTTTCCTCTTTTGTAGAATTCCAGTTACACATACGTTAGACAATTTGAACTACTTGATCTACCGTGTTCATCAGTCACCAAAGCACAGTTTTACCATACGATCTTGCAAATAATTGTTTTTGCATAAGTACTTGCTAAATTAACAAAAATGCATATATGTATATATGTATATTCTAAACATGTTTGTATTCAGCCTTAAAATGTATTTGTAGTTTTTTATATGTTCCTTTTGAAATATATACATTGAACTGATTCAAAAGTGGAAAAAACATGTTTCAGTGATTGAAGAACATGGTAGATGAAGTACTTCATTTGAATAGCTTTAGTTTTTCAATAGAAAAAAAGTGGTGAAGGGTGCACGATTTAGTATAATATTTGGGAGCTGGAGTGGGGAGGTTGGGAATGGCTTTTGTGAATTATTTATTAATATCCTGTAAGTGTAATCCTGGTAATGAGAGTTAGAGCATGTCACAAGGATCTAGTTTGGGTGAGACAGGCTGCTTAATTTTGTACAGCGTGGATGTGGGTAGCGGGAAGAGTTGGAGATTAGCTGAATGTGGGTTTTTAGGTGGGGCTGGGGAGAGTGGCAGAGGGGAAGCTTTATACTACCTGATATATGCAGATAAATACTCTCTAACCACAGTTGGGACTTTGCTACATGCATGCTGTGTTTAGAATTAAAGTGGATTTTTTTTTTTTAAAGAATTTGGGGAAGCAATCATAGGATAATTCATCAAAATAATTATTTTGAGGAAAAATTTTTCATTGAAATACTTACATATTTTATAGAAGCCAGCAAGCTAGGAAGGAGAAAAATAAGGAGCTTGACTTTGTTGGTATTAGTATGAGATGGAACATTTTAACATTGTTGACTTTTGCTGAGGAATTTAGGCTGATTAATAAATTTGGTGCTATGCTGGATCTTTACCAGAGACACTTTTAACTGATTTTAGTTTTGTTTAATTCTCATTCGTTTTAGGATAATTCACACTGTCTTTAGTGTAGTCTTTTCTCCTTATTGTTTTAGATCATTTGAACTCCGTATTTTTGATTTTTTAAAATACAGAGCTTAGAATTTTTTTTTTCTTTTCCTCTAAAGAAGTCATAGATAATACTTTGAGAGATCTGAAGTACAAAATGGCCAGTTCCAAAACTCTAAGTTAAGATGTAGGATAAACATTAAAATAAATGAAAACACAGAGAGACCTAAATTTTATTTGCAATTTTTCATTTGTTTTTGGGCAATAGATGAAATTATACTGTGAAGTTTTATATTAACTTTTGAGTGTTTCTTTTTTTTTTTTTCTTCAGAAATTTCTACACCCAGACCATCTTCTCCAAGTGGAATACCTGAAGAAGATAGTGTTTTATTTAACAAACTGACCTACTTAGGATGTATGAAGGTTTCTTCCCCACGTAATGAAGTGGAGGCTTTACGGGCAATGGCAACTATGAAATCTTCCAGTCAGCACCCCTTTCCTGTTACTCTATATGTGCCAAATGTTCCGGAAGGTTCTGTGAGGTAAGCTCTAATCCCTTATTACCCCCTTAGACATGTGTGAAGTTTTTTTGGGTAGTGGTGATGATATTTTATCATAAGTGAGGCCTTGGACTTACTCTGAATTCACTTTTACTCTGTAGCCATGCAAAGTAAACATGTTTAGGTTTAGACTGTATTCCTTATTTGCAAGGGGCATTTGTAAAATTTGCTTAGAATACTATAAATGCAACTATAACTGTCAAAATACCTATGATTTGTGTTTCACCTTGTCATGTAACAGTGGTTCAGAAAACTAGAGTGATCCCTAGATTTCAAGCTCTTTACGTCACACTGGAAGGAAGCAAAATGGCTTTTTCTCACATGCTTCACTAGGAATAATACTTAATGTCATCTGAACCTTGAATTTCTTTAAATGTACATCAGATAACTGTTATTTTCCTACATTCAGCCCTCCAGTAGCCTCCAATCACACTTGTGATTATATTTGAAATTCTTACCATGTCTGGCCCTGATGATCTGCTTTGACCTGATCTTCTGCCCTTCTCCCCTCTCTTCCCTCCCTCCTTTGCTCTCTCACTTCTTTCACTACATTTACTTCATTCATTCATTCACTTCATTCATTTGCTACATTCCAGTCATAGTAGCCTCTTTGCTCTTTCTCAAACACAGTCATGAATCCTGCCTCAGGGCCTATCAGTCAGGATTCCTACCTCAGGGTTTTTGTGTAGTCTTTTTACTCTGCCTAAACAAGCTTTCCTTGGTTTTCCAATGGCTTTTTCACTTCTCTCCGGTTTCACTTCAAAAAACCTTTTTATCAAAAGAAGGCTTCTTTTTCTTCCTTCCTGTTTTTCTTAATAGGGTTTATTTTTTAGATCACTTTTAGGTTCACAGCAAAATTGAGCACAAAGTACAGAGATTTCCCATATCCCAGATGTGCATCCCTCCACCTCCCCCAAACACACCTCTCACCATCAACATCCTCTTCCACATGGTACATTTGTTACAATTTTTAATTTCTTTTAAAATTGTTTATTTATTTTTGGCTGCGTTGGATCTTAGTTGCGGCACATGGGATCTTTCGTTGAGGTGCGTGGGCTCTTTGTTGCGGCGCGTGGGCTCTCTAGTTGTGGTGCACGGACTCCAGAGCGCGTGGGCTCTGTAGTTGTGGCGCGCGGACTCCAGAGTGCACATGTGGGCTTTGTAGTTGTGGCGTGCTGGCTTAGTTGCCCCACGGCATGTGGGATCTTAGTTTCTGGACCAGGGATCGAACCCACGTCCCCTGCAGTGGAAGGCGGATTCTTAACCACTGGAGTACCAGGGAAGTCCCCACATTTGTTACAGTTGATGAACCTACATTGACATAATTTTCCAAAGTCCATAGTTTACCTTAGGCTTCACTCTTGGTGTTGTACATTCTATGGGTTTGGACAAATATATAATGACATGTATCCACCAGTAGGATATCATACAGAGTACTTTCACTGTTTGAAAATTCCTGCCTTCTGCCTGATCATCTGTCCCTCCCTGCAACCGCTGGCAACCACTGATCTTTTTACTGTCTCCATAGTTTTGCCTTTTCCAGTAAATTATATAGTTAGAATCATGTAATAAATAGCCCTTTCAGATTGGCTTCTTTTACTTAATAATAGGCATTTAAGGTTCCTACATGTCTTTTTCTGGCTTGATAGCTCATTTCTTTTTAGTGCTGAATAATATGCTATTGTCTGGGTGTACCACAGTTTATTTTTCCATTTGCCTATGGAAGGACATTCTGATTGCATCCAAGTTTTGGCGATTATGAATAAAGCTTCTGTAAACATCTGTGTGCGGGGTTTTGTGTAGACGTAAGTTTTTAACTCATTTGAATAAACACCAAGGAGTGTAATTGCTAGATCCTATAGTATGGGTATATTTAGTTTTGTAAGAAACTGCCAAATTGTCAAAAGAATCCTCCTTTGATCATATCATAACTATCCCTCTTTCTTTTTACTGGGCCTTTTTTCCTTCATAGAACTTTCCATTGACTTGATATTATATATTTATTTGCTTATTTGTTTATTGTCTGTCTTTCTCACTAGAATATAAGTTCCATGGGGGCAGGTTATTGGTATTTTTTCCTGCTACAGCTTCTGTCTGATAGTACTGTCTAGAGCAGTATTGGTCCATAGCAGGTTTTTAGTAAACATTTGCTGAATGAACAAATAAATGAACCAGGTCTGGGAAATTAGGTTGAATGTGTCTTGAACCTATACTATTCTCTGAAGACTGATTTAATCTTTTCCAAACCCTTTCTGATTTGCCTCATTCTCTGAAGTTTAGAATGTGAGAAAAGTTCTAAGCACCAAAATAATAGCAATATAAATTTACAAGGTTTTGGTAAAAATGCTTTGACTTTTTCAGGAAAGCGTTTTGTAGGTATATTGTTTGTATGATATCTCTTAACAGTAAAACGCATTTTGATATTTGTATCTATTGAGTTTCAAAGTGCCAAACATACCTTAACAAAGACTTAGTGTTTTGATTTGCCTCTCTATTCCTAGTAGGTCCCCCTCAGTTCTACAATTTGAGATCCTGAGGTGGTCTTGAGGTTTTGGATCAAATTAGGGCTTAGGATTTGTACAGGGAAAGTCAGAGAAATATTTGCTCCTAAGTCCCACAAACTCCTTTTACCTCTTAAATTCCATTGTTAAGTTTATCTTTGGAACCACTCTGACCTTTTTTAGGGTAAGAGAAGTCTTTGTTGAACGATGAATGACCTGGACTTGGATAAACTTACAGGTGCTGCTTTAAATAGAAATGAACTCTCCAGAGATGGTCTGTGCTATTTTTTACTGGCATTCCTCTTGCCATAACAGAACAAGACTAGCATTTAGGGATGCGTGACATCGATTTTACCAGGCAGTGTATACTTGGCTTTGAAAGTAAATGAATTCGATCATAGGACACAAAAATGAAGTAATTGTCAAAAGAAGTTGAAGAATTTGTGTGTTTGTGTATAGCAAAAATATGAAGATAACTGTTTTCTTGCTTTATTAGTACCAGTTTATTTTTGTGATTTTAAGATAGTTATTTTGTATGTTATTGGCATAGTAAAAGTGTTTGCCTTTGTTCTTTGATAGTTAATATTTTATCTCATTTTTCATCACTGTTCTGCAGAATCATAGACCAATCCAACAACATGGAGATAGCATCTTTTCCAATTTATAAGGTGTTATTCTGTGCACGTGGACATGATGGGACAGTAGAGAGCAATTGCTTTGCATTTACAGAGAGTTCCCATGGCTCAGAAGAATTCCAGATACATGTTTTCTCCTGTGAAATTAAAGAGGCAGTAAGTATAATATGTTGTAGCAATTCGCTATTGAGATGAATTAGGGTAATATTTTCAACTCTAATTTCACTGTCATATAATTTAGTATGTATGACCGTATACCATATTACATGAATTTGGAGTATCTTTCTGAAGAGAAAGTTAATATTTATAATGGCTTAGAGTCGCATATGGAAAGCTAAATCTGATAACTCTGTGCACTAAAGTGGTTCTCTCAGTTTAACATATGTAACAGAAAAATCCCCCTTGATAAACTTTCCTCCCACCCCACCATGGTAGTAATTGCTCAGACTTAGAAAGGAAGAATATTTTTGCCCCTCTTTTATTGTTTTGCCTAAGTTGGTTGGTCTATGTGACTTCAAAAAATGTCTGTAACAACACCTGTTTCTCTGCTGGGCCTTTCACTTAGATACTGCAGTAAGATTGTTTCATAGATGTCTGTGATTTTCACTGGTGATCATTTATTACGTGCATTCATTCAGAGGCTGGCTTTTGCTCTATAGAACTGGTATTAATTATAAATACAAATGCTCCCATACAGCAGGGTTGTCAACTTGTAGTCCTTTGAAGATGCCAGTGAGTTCCTCTTACCAATTATTAAATGGTAGTTTATTCTTAGAATCAAATGGCTGTTACATACATGGAGAAATTGCCTTCTTTTCTGTATCTATTGATTTCTCCCCAAATTAAAAATAATTTGCACTTTTAGAACTTTAGTACTTATACAACCATTTCAAAGGCATTATTAAATGGATTTGGATGGGCAAGGTCTCAGGTGTGTTTGCTTTTGGAAATATAAATTGTCAGCAGAAAATGCTGAAAGTAGCAGTTGTTCTATTTTCTCTTTACTATGAAACATAGATAAACCATTATATTAACAGGAGTTCTGAGAGTTTATTTCTGGCCACAACATGGGAACTCATAGAAATGTAGATTTCTGTGTGTCTGATACTAAGCGTGAGGGGTATGTCAGTTGTTATTATGCCCTGGTGATTAATTTTTTTACACTAAAATGAACATGTACAGACATAGAAGTTCTCTGTCAGAACCATGCCTGTGTAAGAAGTTCAAATTTGTTTCTTTTTGTTTGTTTTTTATATAGTTCTGAATCTATTTCATCCCAATGTGTGTATGTATGTATACCTACACACACATACATAACACCTATACATATACGTATACTGACTACTTGGCCAAGTGTGTGATAGGTAGAGTGAATGAGTACAAGTATGCGTGGCACGTAGGAGGCAGTGGATATAAATATGTTGAAAGAATGTGTGTGTGTGTTTGTAAATTGGGGGGTCTATTTCTGATCCTTACAACTCCACTGCAGAGGTGGGGAAGCAGATGGTAGAGACCTGGCATTTCATGTTGGCAACCGTCATTTAGCATACCTGTGTGGATTCTGGATAACTGGTGCTCAACAGTAAGAAAGAGAACTTTGAAGAATTGGAGAACCTGCTGCTTGGAGAGGCAGAAACACTGCTGTAGAAGGAAATTGAAAGGCACCTGGTTGCAAGCATTTTTCATAACTGTGATGGTATGAAACTCTCTTTTTGGATTATAGCATCTACTTGTTTATGGGGGGGGATATTTGTCATTTTTGAGAGCTTTAACAGTGTGTAAGCAGTGGATAAAACTGGGGGGGAATTCTTGGCCTGACCATTTTGGATATAGTATTAAATAGGATTAATTGTATTTCTGGAGAGGATATTTGGTACATTGTAGGTTGTGATAAAGTGACATCCATTTATTATTTAATTTTTTTGAGTAAATTTTTCAAAGTGTTACATTCTGGGACATTGGTGGTAAAATTCATTGTTTGAAGGAGAAATAAATGACAGTTTTCATTGAACTTTATTATGAGAGATCATTTCTATAACAACCCGGTATAAATATAGGGCTTATGCCTGGCACTGCGCTAAGCATTTACTTGATACTCATGACATTTCCATAACATAGATGGTATTTATTTAGACTAGTGACCTTATGCTCCTCTTTGCCTGGAGCAGTCCTAGTTTATGCCTGTTGTCCAAGTATATTATTAAAGCACTTCATTTTATTCTCAAAAGTGCTCTGGTTTGGCTGACAAATTTTATGGTTACCCTTTCCTTATCCAAAGGCTGAGAGAACAGATGATGAAGCTGGTTTCCTAAGGATGTTTATGACTCTGAAGACCCATTTAATTTTCAGTCACAGCTTTTCTGTTGCTTTTTTATAAAAAGTAAATATAGATTTTTACCTTTCAATTATGCTTTATAAAGGCATTTCTCAGTCATATAGCTTGCATTCCAGCAACCTTTGGGTTTTACTCATGCCTTTTATAGAATGTCTGACATCTTCCTCTCTCCCCTCAAAAAATAATTACTTGTCTTTTTGTTGCATTTACTGGTTGTCTAGTTATCTGGTTCCTGGAAGTTTCTTGTTATGTGGTGAAGGGACAACATTAGTCCTTAGTATTTGGGTCCCTCTTAATGGACACAGACAATTGGCAAAGATAGCTCAGGAACAGATGACTGACATTCTTATTGCTTAAATATGTACCATGCAGCAGTGGCATTAATTTGTTTTCCATTGTTTGCAGAGTCCCTGGATGAGATTTGAAGAAGTTTGTCAGTTAAAGGCAAGAAGACATCTTCTCAAGAGGGAGTAGCAGCATGGCTGCCACTACCAGTTATCACTTTGATGTGCTCTTATTTCACCATAATATGCCACAAGCAGCAGACACCAACAGTGGTAGAGGGGAAGCCCAGTGAGGGTGATGGCTTTGTTGGACCTGTGACACAAGGATTAGGGGTTCCCACAGAAGGGTTAGGACACATTTGACTTATTGCCTTGGCTGTTCTTCTGTGGGACTCTGCTGGAGTGGATCTCAATTATCTATGGCAAAAGAGTTGGGGAATCCAGCCAGAAGTATCTTGATGCTGATGATCTTTGTACAGGGAGAATGATGTGCTAGAGTTCTGCTGAAGAATTACAGACAGAGCAGAGTATCAGAAAGCACAGTGCAAAAAGCCAGAGAGGCATCTATTCTTGTTGCATCTTTATGAATATATTACACAAAACTGCTTTTAAAGATAATTAGTTGACTCTCTTTAAGAATTTATTTCTACTACTCCGTGTAACCATTTTCTTCAAAACAGATTTTGCTGTTTGTTTGTATGTTATGACATACTTACCATTATTATCAATTCTCAGTGTTGTGTTTTAGAAGCAGGTTTTTATCAGCTGGTGTTAACAGGCATTCAGAGGTATTTCATAATACCAAGGGTATCATTAGGAACATCTTTACTCTTAATGCATTGTTTTTTCTTAGGGTTGCTGGTACACTACTATATAAAAGAAAACGTAATTCCTTGTATGAGAAAATATTATTGCTAAACATATATGTATTGAGATGGTATTTTAGCAAAATGCCTTATTTTGGAAATTAATTTAGAAGTTATATTGTTTTTCTCAAATAAATTGATTTTTGTAATTAAAAAAGTTCTTATATGATTGCCTCTTGTTTTAGCTCCTTTCAATTAGTAATATATTTGAGCAAGTTGTTTTTAAAATTTTAACACATATTTTTCTGGGTATCTTTTATAGGATAACTTTTCTACATTTACTTTTTTGGGTGAACATTTTCTTGATAAATGTTTTTAAAAGAGTTGCTCCTTTTTCACCAATATTAGTGAAAAGGCTTTATCTTAGAAGAATTTGCTATGTTATTTTATTTTTTATTTATTTTTTAATATTTTATTTATTTATTTATTTGGCTGGGTCGGGTCTTAGTTGTGGCACATGGGATCTTTTTTTTTTTTTTTTTTAATGTGGGGGTCACTTCCCAGATACTTTATTTTTTATTTTTTTACATCTTTATTGGAGTATAATTGCTTTACAATGGTGTGTTAGTTTCTGCTTTATAACAAAGTGAATCAGTTATACATATACATATGTCCCCATATCTCTTCCCTCTTGCGTCTCCCTCCCTCCCACCCTCCCTATCCCACCCCTCCAGGCGATCACAAAGCACTGAGCTGATCTCCCTGTGCTATGCGGCTGCTTCCCACTAGCTATCTACCTTACGTTTGGTAGTGTATATATGTCCATGCCTCTCTCGTGCTTTGTCACAGCTTACCCTTCCCCCTCCCCATATCCTCAAGTCCATTCTCTAGTAGGTCTGTGTCTTTATTCCTGTCTTACCCCTAGGTTCTTCGTGACATTTTTTTTTTCTTAAATTCCATATATATGTGTTAGCATACGGTATTTGTCTTTCTCTTTCTGACTTACTTCGCTCTGTATGACAGACTCTAGGTCTATCCACCTCATTACAAATAGCTCAATTTCATTTCTTTTTATGGCTGAGTAATATTCCATTGTATATATGTGCCACATCTTCTTTATCCATTCATCCGATGATGGACACTTAGGTTGTTTCCATCTCCGGGCTATTGTAAATAGAGCTGCAATAGACATTTTGGTACATGACTGTTTTTGAATTATGGTTTTCTCAGGGTATATGCCCAGTAGTGGGATTGCTGGGTCATATGGTAGTTCTATTTGTAGTTTTTTAAGGAACCTCCATACTGTTCTCCACAGTGGCTGTATCAATTTACATTCCCACCAACAGGCGGCACATGGGATCTTTTGTTGTGGTGTGCGGGCTGTTTGTTGTGGCGTGCGGGCTTCTCTCTAGTTGCGACACGCAGGCTCAGTAGTTGCGGCATGCAGGCTGTCTAGTTGTGGTGCAGGCTCTAGAGTGCACAGGCTTAGTTGCCCCTCTGCATGTGGGATCTTAGTTCCCTGACCAGGGGTCAAACCTGCGTCCCCTGCATTGGAAGGTGGATTCTTAACCACTGGACCACCAGGGAAGTCCCCCTGTACTACTTATTTTAAGTAAACATTTCATTTAATAGCATTTCTTGGACTGTTAATGTGTAATAATTGAGAATTTGGAATATACTGAAATACAAAAGAAAATAAAAGTTACTCAGAATTCCATCAGAATTAAGATTTTGGTTTGTCTCCTTTCCACATATCTACACGTGTCCTCCTGCCCACCTCTTCAAAAAAAAAACAGCAACTCCAAGAGATAGTTTTGTGTTTAACTAATGCTTTCTGTAGGTAGGTACTGCCTCTGGGGAAAAATTGTACTGTATTATTTGTCAATAAACCTTTTGACTTCTGCAAAGAAAATGCCTGTTCTAGATTATTGTGTGTGCGTGTGTGTTTGTATTTAATATTGTGACGTGTATAGAAATGTTTTCCATGGTATTATGTTTTAAATTTTTTCATGATGAAATTGGTTACCCAATTTGTTCCCATAACTATAGACATTGATAATCATCGTTTTTGAAGCTACTCTACCTTACCAATTCTTGGATCATCATTCCAGCTTATTCACAGACTCTAGAAGTCACAAATGATTTTAACCTTGTTGTTGGAAATAGCAGCTTCTAAGACTGGTCAGGATTAAATGCAGTTTGATTGCTGTTAAGGTACTGTTGTGTCCTTCCTCCAAGAAGAGAGAAAGGTGTAGGCTGATTTCCCCCCCATCATTCTCTACCACTCTGGCTCGGCCCCATATGCTTAGCCTTTTTCAAAAGACATTCCTGAGCCTTGCCCATCTCCTTTAGAATTCGCCAAGTTCTTTGACTTTTTTTTTGGTGTGGCATGATGTGTAGGCTTGTGGACAGCTCTGATACAAAGAAAATGAAATAGAAGAATATAGGAGAGAAGAAAAAATAATAAATAGGGTTGGGGTTTAACTTTACTAATGTATCAAAAACTAAGTACAGGTATTCTGTTTTCACATATAATGTTTTCTTAAAAATATGCTTAAAAATGTTTTCTTAAATACACATAAAATGTAAATAAGAGACGTCACATTTTATTTGGAGTTAGGAAGTAGGCAGTACTCAAAGTACTGAAAATAGTTTAAAGTCCCTGTTTACACTTTACCTTGTAGGCATAATCTTCAGTGACTTATTTCTAGCATGTTCTTTGATTCTGTTTTCCTCTATAACATTTAAATTATTGAGCTAAGTCCAATAAGGGTCCAGTTGAGGCTGAACATATCTGTTTTTGCCTTACCTAATGATTCCTCCCATTCACCCCAAGCACATTCAACTTACATGTGCTGAAATGAAAGCTCCATGTACACAGCTGTATCCCTCTCTCCTAGAATAATACTTAGTACACAGAAGGCACTCAAAAAGTATTGGTTGAATGAATGAGTGAACTTATAATTGTCTTAATTGTATAAGATTTGAGGTCTACAGTTATTATTAATATGAATCCTTTGCTGCTTTGTTGTTACTCATTTATATAAAATTATAATGAGATAACTTTAACATATTAAAAAATTTTATGAATGCAGTGATACAAATATGATGCTATTGATTGAAGTTGAACTTTAGGCTGGCAGGCAGCATTCTTATACAGTTAACCTGTGTAAGTCAGTTAATTTAGAAAACTATTGATTTGGCACTGAAAAGGCAGTTTAGGGTAATCATTGATTACTGGATGTAAGTGTGGCCATTGGAAGTTTGAGGACCATTGAATGTGTTAGATAGAGTATGTATGTGTGAGAAAAGGTAGAATGTATGAATATAATAAAAATAGAATATTGAGGAAAGACCCCCATACTTGAAGAAATTCTACTGTTAATGAAGTGCTCTTATTTCAGGCAAATTATAAAATATTATAATCCTAGATTAATACAAAGAATAATTAGAATTCACTTTATCTAAAGTGAAGGATTTAATATTCAGAGAAGTTTCTTTACTAGTACCTCCCAGTGTGAGATTTTGAAAATATGAACTTTGTTCAGACCCTTCTTATTTCATCTTGTTTTTATTTGTTCAACCCATGAGGGGCCTGAGAGATTTGGAAGTTCTTTTGTGTTTGAAGCAGACAAGTTTGAGATGGTATGATGCTTCTTTTGGAACCAAGGAAGATAATACCGTCTGGAAGAGTGTGGGATGTAGAGTACTCCTCCACTTTAGGGGAGGAGTAAAAGCCATCCATATATATACACACATACATATATTTATGTATGTGTGTGTATATAAAGTCACCAGGGTGGCTTAATACTAATAAATTAGATAAGAACATTTCAGGATTCATTCATTCATTCTACGACACATTTATACAACAACAACACTGAGTAACAATACTGGAAGCTCTTTAAATCATGCTACCATGTTTTCTTTTTGCAAAAAACAGTATTCTATGCCTCAGGATCTAGCCCACTGAAGCTGAGAGAAGTGAAAAGAGAAATTGACACCTTGGGCTAAAACCTTGTTTGTGTGTGTTCATTGGGAAGGTTTAGATGCCAGTATCATTCTAGTAATTATCTTAGGCTTCATTCATTGCAATATATTATCTTAGGGGTCATAGAAACATCTATACATACATACAGCTTCTTTTGTGACTTTAAATTAAATGTCTTTATTTTGATGTTTAAATGCCAGATTGAAAGAAGCAAACTACAGTTAACCCTTGAACAGTGCGCTGGGGCTGGGGGGTGGCATGTCGTAGGGGCGCTGACCCTCTGTGCAGTCAAAAATTCATGTATAATTTATAGTTGGCCTTCCATATGAGCGGTTCCTCCTTATCCACTCTTCCGCATCTACCACTTCAACCAACCATGGCTTGTATACTACTGTAGTATTTACTGTTGAAAAAAATCTGCATATAAGGGGACCCATGCAGTTCAAACCCATGTTGTTTAGGGGTCAACTGTATGTGTATATATGCTTATACTATGTATATATACACACTGTATATTACAAACTCTGTGTGTGTGTGTGTATATGCTTAGACTATATCTACTTTATCTGCTAAAGAGCATTGTGACCATGGGAAATTATAGATTCAAGAATTAGGAAAGAATTTTATCAAAATGCAATTAAATCTTTGTCTAATATTGTTTCCATTTTTATTCTTTTAGGTAAGCAGAATTTTGTATAGTTTCTCTACAGCTTTCAAACGGTCTTCTAGACAAGTATCTGATGTTAAAGACTCAGTTATTCCTACCCCTGACAGTGATGTATTTACCTTCAGTGTCTCCTTGGAGGTAAAAGAAGATGATGGAAAAGGAAACTTTAGGTGAGGTTGTTTGGAAAGATTAAAAATTGGTATTGTGTCTGAAATATAATATTGGCTAATTTAAAGTTTCCAGAATATGCAATGTTGGTATAAAGCTTTAGGATGATAAAGAAATATTTCACTGGTGAATGCATGGTTCACTTTTGTCATGCTTTTCAGATATTTTATGTAAATTATTTTCTTAATATTTTAAAATACTGATATTTACTGTAGAAAATTTAGTAAAATAATAAAATTGGAATAAAAAGCTATGGTTTTGTCAGCCACAATCACTTTTAATATTTGATTTCTAGGGTGTATTTTTATACAGTTGTGTATATATATATATATATATAGTTTTTTTAACTTCATGATATAAGAATTTTTCAATTAAAATATTCTTAAAATCATTTTTAATGGTTACCAGTAGTATATTGTATGGTTTGACCATCATTTAATTAACCATTTCCTTCTGCTGTGTATTTGGAATGTTCTTCTTTAGTTCAAAAATAGGCAGATAATAGGAAACAGTTATACTCTTTAATGATCAGTTATGGGCCTTTACTTTGCCTTTGTTTCTAACCATAATTGTTAGGTAGGTATTTTACCTGTTTTTTACAGATACAGAAATTGAGTCTTAGGTCAAATAAGTTGCTAAAGGTATTTTTCCTTTTCAGATAAGGCAACCTATATTTTAGACACTAAACTGTTTTTGTTTTGTTTCTTTTAGACACTTACTGTTTTAATGAACTAATTCTTGAGAATTGTCAGTCTGGCCTAGGCTAGAATTTAACTTGCCCTGATCTGTACCTCTTTGTTCATCTTTTATTTATATTTACTTGGATTTGTCACAGTCATCTCAAACTCTAGATGTTTAAAAGTAAGCTCTTCTTCTCAATTTTTGCCTTGGGTTTCACTGTGTTAAAGGCATTCATGCAACCAGCTAAACCAGAAATGTGACAGTCTTAAAAGTAATTAAATAAACCATGTTCCTAAATGTGTTAAAATTTAAAAACTAAAATTTGAAATGATGTCATTTAAAAAGTTTTGTTTTTAATCTCGTTAGGGATAAATTATAAGGCTCTTGTAAACCCAGTTTAAAAATTAATAACAACTCTGTTTTGCTGACTGGAAAGTTTGTAGTTACTCTGTGGCAAGATGAGAGTTAGGATATCTTAAGAATAAGGGTGTTGTTGCTTAAATAGTTTGTTGGCTCATTCTAACCTTGAAAGAGAGATCTTTTTTATTGTTTTTAATTATTGTTAATTCCTCTTCTTTTTGCATATTTCAGTCCTGTGCCTAAGGATAGAGATAAATTTTATTTCAAATTAAAACAAGGAATAGAGAAGAAGGTTGTGATTACAGTGCAGCAACTTTCTAACAAAGAATTAGCTATTGAAAGGTAAGCAGCTTGCTCCTAAATGCTACCAAAACTTGTATTGACATTGTTACTGTGTTTCAAGAGACATACTATTGAATCTCAGCTGTATTACTTACTGTGGCTTTTCACCATGCTTCAGTTTCCCCATTTAAAAATGAGAATGAGAAACCTAATGCTTTCCCCACTTAAATAAGTTAGATATAACTGGTTCATTGAAAATGTCAATTGATGGGGGAAATAAACATGAAATGGCTTTGTTTTATCAGTAATAACTGCTTCTACCCTATTTGGGCTTTTTCCGTATCTCCCTTATTTACATATAGGACAAATACCTTAACTTCTCATTCATTTTGATTATTAAAAAGTCCATTAAGTTACTGAGATATCAGAATTTTTAAGAGATACATCTTTAAAATATATAAACACACACACACATATATACACACACGTGTGTCTGCATGCGTTTATATATTTATGTCTATATTTTAATTTTTCTGTTAGCAGTAGACATAGCAATATTTTAATCTTTTTATTTAGAGGTAATTTCAAACTTACAGAAGACTTAAAAAAAAGAAAAAAAAACCTAGTACAGAGAATACCTGCATGCTCTTTACTCAGAATCACTTATTAATAACATTTTACCCCATTTGCTTTGCACCCACTTTCTCAATCTCTCTCTCTCTCTCTGTGTCTCAGTCTTTCTCTCCCTCCCTCCACCCCGGCACACACGCGCACACACGTGCTTGTTTTTCTAAACAATTTAAGAGTAAGTTACATACATCATGGTGTTTTATCCCTATCTACTTCCTTAGGAAATGTATATTTCCTAAAAATAGGGATACGAATCTCTCTTATTTAACCACATTATTTGTGTCAACCTCAGTAAACTTAGCTTTCATACAATACTTTTTATCTAACCTACTATTTGTCTCTAATTTTGTCAGTTAACCCAATACCATCCTTTCCCCCCATCCAATTTAGGATTTACATTAGGGTCAGATATTGCATTTAGCTGCCATATGTCTTTAGGTTTCTTTAATTTGGAAAGATTTCCACAGTCTTTCTCTCTCTTTTAAAACATGGACTTTTTTAAAAAAAATAAATTTATTTATCTATTATTTTTGGCTGCATTGGATCTTTGTTGCTGCATGCGGGCTTTATCTAGTTGTGGTGAGCAGGGACTACTCTCTGTTGTGGTGTGCAGGATTCTCATTGCGGTGGCTTCTCTAGTTGTGGAGCACGGGCTCTAGGTGCGCAGGCTTCAGTAATTGTGGCTTGTGGGCTCTAGAGTGCAGGCTTAGTAGTTGTGGTGCACGGGCTTAGTTTCTCCGCAGCATGTGGGGTCTTCCCAGACCACAGATCAAACCTGTGTCCCCTGCATTGGCAGGCAGGTTCTTTAACTACTGTGCCACCAGGAAGTCCCATCAAAATGGACATTTTTCAAGAATACATCCCTTTCCCTCTTTTTATTTTTCTTATTTCTTTTTTTATTTTTTATACTATATTTATTTTTATTTATTTTTTGCATCTTTATTGGAGTATAATTGCTTTATAATGTTGTGTTAGTTTCTGCTGTACAACAAAGTGAATCAGCTATATATATATATATATATATATATATACATCCCCATATCCCCTTCCTCTTGAGCCTGCCTCCCATCCTCCCTATCCCACCCCTCTAGGTTGTCACAAAGCGTGGAGCCGATCTCCCCGTGCTATGCAGCAGCTTCCCACTAGCCATCCATTTTACATTTGGTAGTGTATATATGTCAATGCTACTCTCTCCCTTAGTCCCAGCTTCCCCTTCCCCCGCTGTGTCCTCAAGTCTGTCCTATACATCTGCATCTTTATTCCTGCCCTGCCACTAGGTTCATCAGTACCATTTTCATAGATTCCAGATATATGCGTTATTATACGGTATTTGTTTTTTTGACTTACTTCACTCTTATGACAGTCTCTAGGTCCATCCACGTCTCTACAAATGACCCAATTTCGTTCCTTTTAATGGTTGAGTAATATTCCATTGTATATATGTGCCACATCTTCTTTATCCATTCATCTGTCAATAGACATTTAGGTTGCTTCCATGTCCTGGCTGTTGTAAATAGTGCTGCAATGAACATTCTGGTACATGACTCTTTTTGAATTATGCTTTTCTCAGGGTATATGCCCAGTAGTGGGATTGCTGGGTCATATAGTAGTTCTAGTTTTAGTTTAAGGAAACTCCATGCTGTTCTCCATAGTGGCTATATCAATTTACATTCCCACCAACAGTGTAGGAGGGTTCTCTTTTCTCCATACCCTCTCCAGCATTTATTGTTTGTAGATTTTTTGATGATGACCATTCTGACCAGTGTGAGGTGATACCTCATTTTGGTTTTGACTTGCATTTCTCTAATGATTAGTGATGTTGAGCATCTTTTCATGTGTTTGTTGGCAATGTGTAAGTCTTCTTTGGAGAAATGTCTGTTTAGGTCTTCCGTCCATTTTCGGATTGGGTTGTTTATTTTTTTGAAATTGAGCTGCATGAGCTGCTTGTGGATTTTGGAGATTAATCCTTTGTCAGCCGCTTCATTTGCAAATATTTTCTCCCATTCTGAGGGTTGTCTTTTCGTCTTGTTTATGGTTTCCTTTGCTGTGCAAAAGCTTTTAAGTTTCATTAGGTCCCATTTGTTTATTTTTGTTTTTATTTCTATTACTCTAGGAGGTGGATCAAAGAAGATCTTGCTATGATTTATGTCAAAGAGTGTTCTTCCTATGTTTTCCTCTAAGAGTTATATAGTATCCGGTCTTACATTTAGGTCTCTAATCCATTTTGAGTTTATTTTTGTGTATGGTGTTAGGGAGTGTTCTAATTTCATTCTTTTGCATGTAGCTGTCCAGTTTTCCTGGCACCACTTATTGAAGAGGCTGTCTTTTCTCCATTGTATATTCTTGCCTCCTTTGTCAAAGATAATGTGACCAGAGTTGCATGGGTTTATCTCTGGCCTTTCTATCCTGTTCCATTGATCTGTGTTTCTGTTTTTGTGCCAGAACCGTACTGTCTTGATTACTGTAGCTGTGTAGTATAGTCTGAAGTCTGGGAGCCTTAATTTTGAGCATTAATTTTGTATCCTGCTACTTTACAAAATTCATTGATTAGCTCTGGTAGTTTTCTGGCGTCATCTTTAGGATTTTCTGTGTATAGTATCATGTCATCTGCAAACAGTGAGAGTTTTATTTCTTCTTTTCTAACTTGGATTCCTTTTATTTCTTTTTCTTCTCTGATTGCTGTGGCTAAAAATTCCAAAACTATTTTGAATAATAGTGGTGAGAGTGGACAACCTTGTCTTGTTCCTGATCTTAGAGGAAATGGTTTCAGTTTTTCAGCATTGAGAATGATGTTCGCTGTGGGTTTGTCATATATGGCTTTTATTATGTCATGTAGGTTCCCTCTGTGCCCACTTTCTATAGGGTTTTTATCATAAATGTGTGTTGAATTTTGTTGAAAGCTTTTTCTACATCTATTGAGATTATCATATGGTTTTTACCCTTCAGTTTGTTAATATTGTGTATCACATTGATTGATTTGTGTATATTGAAGAGTCCTTGCATTCCTGGGATAAACCCCAGTTGATCATGGTGTATGATCCTTTTAGTGTGCTGTTGGATTCTGTTTGCTAGTATTTTGTTGAGGATTTTTGCATCTACGTTCATCATAGATATTGGCCTGTAGTTTTCTTTTTGTGTGACATCTTTGTCTGGTTTTGGTATCAAGGTGATGGTGGCCTCATAGAAAGAGTTTGGGAGTGTTCCTCCCTCTGCTATATTTTGGAAGAGTTTGCGAAGGATAGGTGTTAGCTCTTCTCTAAATGCTTGGTAGAATTTGCCTGTGAAGTGATCTGGTCCTGGACTTTTGTTTGTTGGAAGATTTTTAATTACAGTTTCAGTTTCAGTGCTTGTGATTGGTGTGTTTGTATTTTCTTTTTCTTCCTGGTTCAGTCTCAGAAGGTTTTACTTTTCTAAGAATTTGTCCATTTCTTCCAGGTTGTCCATTTTATTGGCATATAGTAGCTTGTAGTAGTCTGTCATGATCCTTTGTATTTCTGAGGTGTCAGTTGTTACTTCTTTTTCATTTCTAATTCTGTTGATTTGAGTCGTCTTTTTTTTTCCTGATGAGTCTGGCTAATGGCTTATCAATTTTGTTTATTTTTTCAAAGAACCAGCTTTTAGTTTTATTGATCTTTGCTGTTGTTTCTGTTATTTATTTTTTCATTTATTTCTGGTCTGATCTTTATGATTTCTTTCCTTCTGCTAACTTTGGGGTTTTTTGTTCTTCTTTCTCTAATTGGTTTAGGTGTAAGGTTAGGTTGTTTACTTGAGGTGTTTCTTGTTTCTTGAGGTAGGATTGTATTGCTGTAAACTTCCCTCTTAAAACTGCTTTTGCTGCATCCCATATGTTTTGCGTCATCGTGTTTTCATTGTCATTTGTTTCTAGGTATTTTTTGATTTCCTCTTTGATTTCTTCAGTGATCTCTTGGTTGTTTAACAGCATATTGTTTAACCTCCATGTGTTTGTATTTTTTTACACTTTTTTTCCTGTAATTGATATCTAGTCTCATAGTGTTATGGTTGGAAAAGATGCTTGATATGATTTCAGTTTTCTTAAATTTACCAAGGCTTGATTTGTGACCCAAGATGCGATCTGTCCTGGAGAATGTTACATGTGCACTTGAGAAGAAAGTGTATTCTGCTTTTTTTAAAAAAATTAATTTATTTATTTATTTTTTGGCTGCATTGGGTCTTTGTTGCTGTGCGTGGGCTTTTGTAGTTGTGGCGAGCAGTGGCTACTCTTCCTTGTGGGGCATGGTTTTCTCATTGTGGTGGCTTCTCCTTGTTGTTGAGCACGGGCTCTAGGCTTGCGGGCTTCAGTAGTTGTGGCAAGTGGGCTGTAGAATGCAGGCCCAGTAGTTGCAGTGCATGGGTTTAGTTGCTCCGCAGCATGTGGGATCTTCCCAGACCAGGGCTTGAACCCATGTCTC